CCAATCATTTACCTGCATGCATTGTTTGTATCAGAGGCCTTACTGCAAACCTAGGGAGAAATCGCTTCCAGCGGCAGATGGCATGGCATAATTTGGATTTGAACATTAATGTTCTTTAAGTCATCCATAGATATGTTGAGAATCCCTACATGATCCAGTATTTATACTGGATGGGGGATGCACTGCGCTCACCAAGCGTCTCCCATCTGTTGAGTGTCTAGCTCAGGGGTAGGCAACCTATGGCACAGGTGCCAAAGGTGGCACGCGAGCTGATTTTCAGTGGCACTCACACTGCCCAGGTCCTGGCCACCGGTCCGGGGGGCTCTGCATTTTAATTTAATTTTAAATGAAGCTTCTTAAACATTTTGAAACCTTATTTACTTTCCATACAACAATAGTTTAGTTATATATTATAGACTTATAGAAAGAGACCTTCTAAAAATGTTAAAATGTATGACTGGCACGTGAAACCTTAAATGAGAGTGACTAAATGAAGACTCGGCACACCACTTCTGAAAGGTTGCCTACCCCTGGTCTAGCTGTATCAGTGATGTGATCTGAGTGCCCCACGGCCAGTTTTACCTCTGCTCAGGCCATGTGTTAGGTGGGTGGGGGATATTTGTGCAGCGGGTGGAACTGTAACAAACTCCTGCTTACAGCCAAGGGCCGCAGCAGCTGCACAGACCTGGCCGTGCCCTGCTGTGCCCTGGCGAGAGCCCTTCATCGCTCACTGTCCCCTGGGGCAAAAGGAATTTCCCACATTCAGCCCTGGCTTCCCCCACATTGCTACACTAGAGGGCACCAGTGTCACACTGCGAGGCCCATGTTCTTCTGGTACAAGAAGGGAAGTCGCCCTCTTCTGATATATTTAGTCATGGACTTTCCCACACTGCTTCTTCAGCTTTGGCCTCTGCTCTAATCAGATGGGCTCCCCCTCTCCCTGCCAAGACCAGAGGGAAATGCTCTCAGGCCCCAGGAGAGAATATAGGTGAAACTGGCTGACTGCCTCCTGGGAGGGTTATGGGCTAAGGGGCCCACATGAAAAGGAGGTGGTATTAGAGCCAGGGCCGGCGCAACCCATTAGGCGACCTAGGCGGTCGCCTAGGGCGCTGTGATTTGGGGGGTGGCGACTGCGGCGGTATTTCCGCAGCCGGACCTTCCACCGCCTCTGTGGGGGGGGGGCGCATTTCGGGGCGGCGGAAAAGCTGGCGGCGCTCCTGATTAGAGCAGTGTTGCGTGGCGGGACTCACCCCTGCGGCGCCTTCTGCTGGTGTCAGGGGAATTAGCTCTTTTTCCAGCTCCGGAGCGCCCTCTACAGGCCAGTGTCCCGCTTAGTCCCGAGTCCCTCCTGGACCCCAGTGCCCCTTTCAGGCAGGGGTGCCCCCTGCAGTACCCCATAGTCTCACTGGGTCTCCCCTCCCCGGGGAACCCCCAATCCCCTATCCCCACCTCGCCTCAGTCTTTGGTTACTGCCAGTCACCAGCTAGCCCCCGCTCACTGGGGCGGTCTGCAGTGTAAAAGCCACTCATCGTTGCCAAGGGGGGTTTGGACCTGCTGCCTTGGCCTACCCCTGGGCTGCCCTCTGCAACCCCAGTACCCTTCTGGGCCTTTAACAAAGCCTGCAGCCTGGGGGAGTTTCCAGGCCGGAGCTCCCCAGCTCCTCTGGCCTTCCCCAGCCCTGCTCCATTCCAGGTACCCTGTGAGCTCCTAAGCAGCCAGGCCCTTCCCTCTACAGGCAGAGAGACTCTCTCTTCTAGCCTCTGACTCACAGCCCTTTTATAAGGGCTAGCTGAGGTCTGTTCCAGGTGTGGCCACAGCTGTGCCTGCTTCCCCAATCAGCCTGGGAGCTGTTTTCCCCAGCCACAGCCCTCTCCAGGGCTGGTTTTAACCCCTCCGGGCAGGAGCGGGGTGACCACTCCGCTACAAGCAGGAATCCTCAGTCAGTAAGCAATCAGAATGGGACTCTCAAACCCGTATGTGACTCCAGAGCGCAAGTCCCACTGACTTTCTGTTCTAGCCCAGCAGCGTCCCTGACGTGTGTGAAATGAGGCCAGACACAGCCGTCCCCAGCTTGCCGTAAATCTAGGGTTGCTCTCGCAATTCTAGTGACTGTGCTGTCGTATTTGGTATCTTGCTTAAAGCCTCAGCTCCTGGAGTCATGTGTTTTCTGAGGATCTCGGCTTTTGTTTTTTTTAAAACGTTTCTCAACCCTGTGGTTGCAGAGGAAGAAATCTTGAAGACATGGTCTGAGTGTAACCTACGGGCTCAGAAACTGGAGGACAAATAAATAAATAAGTAAACCCATGCTATTGTGGCTTTTCTAATCTCATGGTTTTTAAGCCCAAGCCCATGATTGGGGTAGTGGTGAAGAGGGGGCTGACTCATGACCTGAATGCAGAGGGTTGGCAACATTGTAGCTGTCTAGGGTGGAGCTTCTCTGTCCTGAGCGCTGGCCTCTTGTGGCTGCTTCTGTCTCCCCATCTCTTGGCATGGCAGGTCCCCAGTGTTTCCTGGGGAGAAGAGTCTCTCTTCATGCACTTGGTCCTAGACTCTCTGGAACTCCGCACAGATCTGGGGGGAAGGGCGGTCCAGGTGATTTTGCAGTTTGGCTCTAGCCCTCTGGCACAAGGTAGAGCAGCCCCCAGACCCAAGGGGCTGTTCTGACAGCCAAGAGTAAGGATGCTCCGGCCATGCCTTCTCCCCAGAAGTGCCCCCTCTGCTGGGAGCTGGGAAAGGGACGGGTTAGCTCCCTGGAGCTCTCCCTTGCCCAGGGGGAATCCTGAGAGGGTCTGAGCTCAGAGCTGCCAGCTGCTTAACAGCAGGATACCAAGGGAGGAAAAATCACTTTTGTAGTGGTAATCAGAGTGGCCCATTTCAAACAGTTGACAAGAAGGTGTGAGTAACAGTAGGGGGAAATTAGTATGGGGGAAATTAGGTTTTCGTTTTGTAATGACCCAACCACTCCCAGTCTTTATTCAGGCTTAATTTGATGGTGTCCAGTTTGCAAATTAATTCCCGTTCTGCAGTTTCACATTGGAGTCTGTTTTTGAACTTTTTTTGTTGAAGAATTGCCACTTTTAGGTCTGTTATTGAGTGACCAGGGAGATTAAAGTGTAGGAGAACATTTCAATCTCCCTGGTCACTCAATAACAAACCTAAAAGTGGCAATTCTTCAACAAAAAAACTTCAAAAACTTCAAGAACAGTTATTTTTCCTCCCTTGGTATCCTGCTGTTAATTGAATTGTCTCGTTAGACTGACCTCACACTTGGTAAGGCAACTCCCACCTTTTCATGTATTTATACCTGCTCCTGTATTTTCCACTCCATGCATCTGATGAAGTGGGTTCTTGCCCACAAAAGCTTATGCCCAAATAAATGTGTTAGTCTCTAAGGTGCCACAAGGACTCCTATGATCACAGGACCACCCCGCTGCAAATACTATCCCAGCTGTGATGTGTCTGTGGAGCCTTCCAAGGGGCATGAGTAGCAGGGCCATGGTTAAGCAGACTCATTCTGTGGTGGACCCTTCAGCAAGGAAATTTCGACCCAGGCCCAGCTTCAAATGCATAACAGACTGGCAGGCTTCAAGAGCAGCCACTAGGGTCATTGTTTGTTTTTATTACTCCAGCAGGAGGGCTCCAGTCATTTGCATGGAACAAAGTCCAACACCGGGAATGGGCTTTGGCCAGAGAAGGCAGTGGTGGGGGTGGGGTGGATGCCCCATTGTAAAGCAGTTTAATGGAAACCTCTGGTTGGGTACAAAAGAGCAATAAACTCCCCACACGGTCATTAGAAAAGCAAAAGCACATTGGTTCCAGGTTTAGTCCATCCAGGTTGTGGACTTGTCTGTGTGAGAGAGAGAACTCAGCTACAGCATCTACCTTTGTGGCAAGATCTCTTCACTGACCAGTTAGTGGCGGCTGATGTCCCGCAATACAGTCTCCAGCATCCAGGAATTCACAGCCCCTTTGCTATTACTTCCTTTCCCTAGACTGCCTGTTTCACCATGTCTGTTTCTTTATTGCCCTGCTCTGTAATTCCTCCTCTCCAATTTCTAGTTCTTTCCTTTCTGCAGTTTTCTTCCATCTCCTTCCCCTGTTGTTCGCCTGTCCTCTTTAAATCAGAGATGGGCTTGAGCAGCAGGGTTAGGATTTGGGTTTCAACCTCCTCAAAAGTCAGGGTGTTTGGGTACATCTGATTTGTTCGTAATGAGTTGGTGTTGGGGTGAGCAGGTCAGTGTGTGCACGAACCTGCATACACCACTGCCCTCTACTGAATGGAATCAGAACTGCTCCAATGTATGTCATTAGCCCCGTACTGCTAACAGATCCTCTCATTTAGCTTGAATGGTAGGGGCCTGTGCCAGGCAGTTAGCTGAGTATAGAATCTCTCTCCATGGTGAAGTGACCGGGACGGGAGAATCATCGCATGATTTCAAAAGGAAATGTACCAAACCGGGGTGTTTATAGCTTCCTGGGGGGGAGGAGGGGGACAGGTACATAGGCTCTGATTCTCCTTGTTTTGCCCCTCGTGGTGTGTGTGAAGTAACTGCACGACGTTACCCCTGGTGTGAGTGGGTGGGGAGGTCTGGTTTGGTAGCGATGTGCACCTTCTCTGCACTCACTGTGTGCAGGTGTAAATAAAGACACACGGTGCAATGGAGGGGGAATCAACGCCCCAAGCATTGTCTGCCTATAGCCTCCTAGGGAACAGCAATTCCCTGTGCTGTGAGAGGACTGTTCTGTTACCCCTCGGTCTTGCCCAGGTCCTGTTTGCCTACTCGACAAACTCTGCACAAGCTGCTTGGAAGGCTCATTGTCACGCTGTTTGTTGCCACGTGTGTGAAGGCCCTGAGGAGTGCGTCTCTTCCCTTGCTAAATCCCCCATCGGAAGCGCAGACCTGGCTGGGGCAACTGGGGCAGGCCAGTTCCAGCAAGTGAATCTGCTCCTGGGGGTGAGCTGTGCCCCTTTGGGAGCACAGTCCAGCTGCCTGGCCTGGTTATTTTGTCATCTGAGAACTCCCGGTGGAGGGGCTGGTGTCCGGCTGGCGGCGGACGGTGCAGTACCAGAGGCAGATGAAGAACCCTGCAGGTGGAAAGCACATTGTAAGCCTTCGGTCACTAGGGTTGCTCCATGTCCTTTCCCCTCCCCACTCCTGGATTCAGAGGCGGGGCAGCAGCAGCAGAAGTGCACTGACCAGGTGGTGGCTGAGAACCGTGCTACTTATAACAGCAATGACCAGGAGCTAGCAGAAACCTCGAGGGGACTCTGCTGCTCCTAAATCAGTGGTAATAGAACCCTGGAGCTAATCCAGCCCTGCCGTCTGAGCCTCCTTCTGCAGAATCCCCCTTGACGGGGCTTTGCTTCAGGTCTTAAGCTACTTCTGGCTCCATCCCATTCATCCCACTGCCTGAGCACTGGGCCCTGCAGCCTCACTGACCCAGGAGGGAGTTGATGATAGTGAAGAGGATGAGCTGAGGAATCAAGAAGACACCGAAACCGAGGAAGGCCAGTGCCCAGGTCGTTCCTAGCAGGCACGTCAGTCCCAGCACTGTCACCAGATCCTTCTTCACTCGTTCTTTCTGACTGTTCATGTTGGATCTCAGTTTCCTCAGCATCCTCATGACGGTGACTAAGATGACCACGTTGAAGAGTATGGTGATACCAGCGTAGCCCACGTTGAGGATGTAATGAACATCCTGGGCCTTGTCTGTGATCCAACACCTGTGGGAGAAGAGGAGGAGACTCTCGTATGCTAATGACGATGATGCCACACTGTGGGGATTGGCCCCGTGGCTGGGGAGGGATGTCTTGCTTTGGGAATGGCACCATGCCATGAGAATTACACCATTCCAGCAGGGCCCCGGGGATCCAGGCCTTGGGGTCAGAGCCCAGATAGGGTAGCAGACATCCGTGCAAGGCTGCTGGGGAGCCAGCTGCTTTGTGTGCCAGCAAACGGGATTCCCGATGAGGAGGACAGAAGGGACATCTGTCTCGGACGGGGTGGAAAGGCTTTTTGGGCTGCTTAGTGTTGCTGGTGAGTTCAGGCTCTAATTTGCCTTAGTAAATGCCTGCACGCCTTGGAAAGGGGGGACCACAGCAGTGCATGGGAAGGGTGTTGTGTTGGGGGAAGCCTATCGCGCCATAGCTGAGATGGGATTTCAGTGCCAATGCAAAGGGAGCAGCACCATTTGTGGGGAAATGGCACTGTGGTTCTGGGCTGGAACCAGGCTTTGGAGACCTGCCCTGTTCTTTGGGAAGGGCAACATACTTGCAAAATTGCACTGCCTCTGGGGAGTCGGAGCATGTCTTGGGCAGAGGACAGCACCATACTCCGAGTAGAGGACAGCACCATCCACCAGAAATGGTCTAGTGAGGTGTGAATGGCACTGTAGTTTTCAAACCATCCCACAATCCTAGGACAGGCCGACAGAGGACAATGCTGGGTAAATGGCGCAATTGTTCTAAACCAGCATCATGCACCTGGGAAAGTCGCCATGTTTTGGAGAGTTGGACTTAGGCTATGTACACACGACAGCGTACGTCGGTATAAGTTATGTTACTGAGGGGTGTGACTAAGCCACCCCCGAGTGATGTAACTTATAATGACCTAAATACGGGTGTGGACAGTGTGCTATGTTGGCAGGAGAGCTTCTGCACCTCTGTAAGCTCTGTAGCCTAGCCAGAGCCTTAATCTTCATTGCCCATGGATCTGATTAGAGCACTCCATGGATGGCACATTGCTTGGAGGTAGGATACAAGGCTTAGGAGAATAGAACCATATTTTTTATCCTGCATCCTGCCGAAGATAGGACCATGTGGAAAAGAACCAGGAGGGACTGGGGAGCACAGAAGCTTTTAATGATTAGGAGACCTACTGTACCACTGGGAACCCAGCCTCAACCCCCGCTGGTCCCCATTATGGCAGAACGTGATTGTGTGTGGACCATCAAACCCATGTCTAACACTTACATAGTTGCATTGTTGTAGCCCGTGTCGGTTTCAATTATGTGCAGCCCGTATGTCTCTTCCTTGAAGATGAGAATGCTAACCACAGCTAAGGCTGGCAGTCCTGTGGGGGCGGGAGATACACACCGACTAAGCTATGATTGAACATGATGGGAATACATAAGAAGGACCTAAGTAATTGGAGGGTAGGAAACTGGGTAGCATTCAAAGGAGTTGGTCCTTGGACATAGGTAGGAAGAGAAGTATATTGGAGGAAGGAAAAATCCAGTAAGGCAGATGGGACAAGTGGTGATGGAATATGGGGCCATTTTAGAGAGCAGAAACACAAAGGCAGGTCGTGGCTGTGTGAGCAAGATGCAGTTATGTCCCTCAAAAAAGTTTCTGCTGTCCCAGCACACTCCAGGTAAACCAGGCTGTCTTATATTAGATGTTGGTAGGGCACTGTAGATTCCCTCCCCCACACCCCTATCACGCATGGGAAACGTAGACATGAGAGGTGGGCCCCATCAAAACCCCTGAGTATTTGGGGAGGGATTGGAAACCAAATCTGGATATAAACTCTGCAACCAGCCCCTACTTCTTTATTATGCAACAAGCTAATGCATTGCAAACAGACAATTACTATCTAATTCTAGAGCCGAGATCCTCTGGCTCTCAGAATACAGCTAAAGGAGCACTTTGATCAGCAGTGGACAGCCTCCCTCCCACAGGCCAATGCCTGGCTCTGACCGCCTCCCAGATCTTGAGTGATTGAAATGTGGCTACATCTCTCACTGGAATCTGCTGACACTGCAGAGAGTGCAGCGGAAGGGCTGTGGTTTTGGCAGGAGGGACGGAGCTCCTCATGGGTTGTGAGGGAGGCATCTTTCTGGGTAGAGAACCTGCACTTACCCCAGCCAACGGCGCACAGCTTGAGGACGTATCTCCTGATGTACACGTTGTAGACTTTGATCAAGAGCAGGTAGAGGTGGAAGCCCTCGATGGCCATCCAGGTCAAGCAGCAGAGCAGGGAGTATTGGAGGAAGGCGGCAGTGCCTCTGCAGAGCCATGTGGAGTGAACCGATGCCAGGGGCCCACTGAGCAGGAAGAAGACATTCAGCAAGAAGAGGGCACCCAGCAGGTTCATGTGGATTTTGGTTGTATAATCTCTGCTCTTTTTCCTAAAATGAACACCGCAAATAGAACTCAGTTCCTTCTGACTGTCCTCGAAATGGGGAACGGGAGGGGGTGCAAAGCAGGCAACGCAATCCACTCCTGCCCCCCACCCCAGCCCCTCCACCTGGGACATCCCCTCCAGTCAGCGTGTGCTGCAGGAGAACGCCAGAGCTGTCTCATATCTCGATAGGGCCCACGTTGGGGTGTGTGTGGAAATGTCCTGTCCCTTCCTTGGGGGCTGAGTCCATAAGACCACGTGGCGATACACAGGCAGTGCACACTGTATTAGAACCACTGGTGACTCTAGCAATGTCTGTTAGGGGTGTGACTTTTATTCTGTTTCTTTACAGGCCAAACCCCTAGTGTAGATGCCGTTCAAAGTGCGTCGGGCAGCAGGTATAAGCGATACCAGTTGCAGTATAGCCAAACCCATGACTGGATTAAGGCAGGGGCTTTAGGGGCTGCAGCCCGGGGCCCTGGCTCAAGGGGGTTCCCAGAAAAATAAATCACAGGCAGCGATCTCTGGGGCGCTCAGGTGGCCTGCCCTGGCCCCACGCCGCTCCCAGAAGCGGCTGGCTGCTGGCACGTCTCTGTGGCCCCTGGCGGGGCAGGAGGCGGCTCCGCGCGCTGCCCCTGCCCCCAGCACCGTCCCCGCAGCTCCCATTGGCCAGGAACCGGGCAGGCAGCCTGCCTGAGCCCTGCTGCACCCCCAGCTGGGAGCCACCTGTGGTAAGCGCCTCCCAGCCAGAGCCTACACCTCGCACCCGCTTCTGCACCCCAACACTCTGCCCCAGCCCGGAGCCCCCTCCTGCACCAAACTCTCTCCCAGACCCCGCATCCCCTCCTCCACTCCAACCCCCTGCCCCAGGTCAGAATCCCCCTCCTGCACCCCAACCCCCTGCCCCAGCCCCCTCCTGCACCAAACTCCCTCCCAGGAAAAAGACTTGTATACAGGGGCCCCACAAAATCTAATAGCCCCAGGCCCACAGGAGAGTTAATCCGGCCCTGGGTGAGCCTGCCCTAGGAATGTTGGCTGGCATATCAGCAAACCCTTTCTAGTGTAGACAAGGCCTGGGGAGCTTAAAAAGCCAGAAAACCACAAGATCTGTCTGTGTCCAGCAGCCTCGGTGAAGAATTCATGACAGCCAAGCTCTGGGCCAGATCCTCCGCTGCTGTGGGCTGGCATGTTCCAAAGATTACAATGGAGCTCGGCTGCTTGACACATGCTGCTGCTCTGGCCCCTGTCTCGTCTCTGCTGCAAGGGATGTGGCCAGGGATAATTGGATCCCTCCAGGAGCAGATGGGAGAACGGTGCAGAAATTCAAGCAGGAACGTGACGTCTTGGGGGTGGGAATGGCAAGTGTAACTCTCCAAAAAGGGCCAAACTAACCCCGGGTGTAACCCCAGGGGTCTCAGTTGGGAGTCCCCATTGGAATGAATTTGGTTTAGCATCTCTCTTGAGGGAGCCCCTGTTGATTCAGCTCAGCCAGGCACCCCGGGCGGGCGCCGCTCTGCACAGCAATGGGGTTACCTGGAGGCGAGGTAGTGGAGGATGGTGAGGAGCGAGGCAGCGGCTGAGACACTGCAGCCCACCATGGAGATGTAGGTGAGAGGAGCCAGGATGGCCTCGTCTATGGGCGCTGAGGAGATTTTCTGCGTGGGATGAGGAGGGGAAGGGGTGAGGAATGAATGCAGCCCTTTGGCACTGGTCCTCAGCCTTCACGGCCGCCCTGGCCTTTCATTCTCCCCTCAACCCCCTCCAGCTTCTTCAGGCCTGGAGCCTGTTCCACCCCCCCAGCTTGGCACCCGTCCCTGAGGCTGCTGGATGTCACTGGCCTCTGTCCTATCTCCTCCCCCCTTCCAGAGCTCCGAGGGGGACGGGGGAACCGCCTCAAAGCTCGACCCCCTGTCCTGACCCCGTGAGAGGGGTTGCTCAACAGGTCCAAGAGGTTCCCTCCAGAGCGGAGGCGGGGCAGAGTGTGTCCTAGTGTAACCCTTGTGGGGGTGCACGCGTGTACATCCATCCCCCGCAGTGTAACAGGTGCTGGAGCGAGGCGGCCCCAGAGGATGGTGCTGCACGTCTCTCAGCCGCTGCAGGGCGGGTGTGAAAGAGGAAAGGGAAATGGAAGCAGGGCCTTGTGGTGGAGCCCAGCTGTGGGGAAATGAGCCGCTCAGAGCACTGAGAGCGGCTGGCGGGGAATGAGTCAGGGAGAAGGCAAACAGGAAACAGCCCTGGGAGAGGGATGAGTGCTTTAGAGCAGTGGGTTTCAAACCGCGGGTTGCGACCCAATGGAAGGCACTGGGTTGCGGCGGCTCTGGTCAGCACTGCCAACTGGGCCGTTAGCAGTCCCATCAGCGGTGGCTAGTCCCTACCTGTTCTGACACCGCGCTGCGCCCCGGAAGCAGCCAGCAGCAGGTTCGGCTCCTAGGCGGGGGAGCTCCGGGGCGCCGCGCGCTGCCCCCGCTCCGAGCACCGGCCTCGCAATCTCATTGGCTGGGAACCAAGCTGGGAGGAGGTGCCTGCAGGCAAGAGCTGTGCGGAGCCGTTTGTGCGCCTCTGCCTAGGAGCCGGACCTGCTGCTGGCTGCTTCCGGGGCACAGCATGGTCCACAGCGCCAGGACAGGCAGGAAGCCTGCCTTAGCACCCCCACTGCACCGCTGACCGGGAGCTGCCTGAGATAAGCCCCACCTCCGCGCCCCAATCCCCTGCCCTAGCCCTGAGCCCCCCCAACCCACAGCCCCTTCCTGCACCCCAAACCTTTCATCCCCAGCCCTAGCCCAGAGCCTGCACCCCCAGCCCAGAGCCCTGACCCCCTCGAACAACCCAACCTCCTGCTCCAGCCCAGAGCTCCTCCCACACCTTGAACCCCTCATTCCCAGCCCCACCCCGCAGCCCTCAGCCCCGCACCCCAACCCTCTGTCCCAGCCCTGAGCCCCTCCCACACCCCAAACCCCTCATCCCCAGCTCTGTTGGGTCGCGGGCATCAACAGTTTTCTTCAACTGGGTCACCAGAAAAAAAGTTTGAAAACCACTGATCTAGAGCACCTGAGAGACAGGGACTGAGAGGGAGCAAAGACTGTGTCTGATGGCTGGGGGGGGGGAGCCTCATACACCCCCAAACAGAGCAAGAACAGTGGGGGAGAAACAGCCTTCCTACCAGCAGCACGGCAAAGTAGGTGAGGTGGTTACACTGGCACAGCACTACGTCTTTTTGGTGGATGGTCTCACAGCCAGCGCTGCTCCAGTTCCCCTGGCTGCCGTTTTCTGCAAGAGGGAGAAACGGCCTTAAGGAAAGCAGCCCACGGCCACAGAGCAGTGAGGCCGAGCCTCAGGAAAACCCATAGGCAACATTTTCCAAAGCACCAACTCACTTAGGAGCCCATGGCCCATTGATTTTCAGTGGGGCTTCGGTACTTTTGAAAATGTTACCCCCTGTCTCCAACCGCAAAAACAATCAGAGTGTGGGGCAAGGGGTGATCTCAGGTAGTGCTACTGCGACATGGGGGTGTTGACGCTAGACATGGGCCAGCATTGGGATCAGAGTTGGGTTTGGGCTACCTGTGGTTCAAGGCTGCACAGCACTAGGGCTCATGTGGGTTGGTGCCGAACCCTGGAGAGCTGTTCTCAGGCATATAGTGGAGGGAAGGAATAAAGCTAGCAGGACAAAATGTCCCCCTCCCTGCACCTTCCTCTGCAATCCCCTAAGATCCAGCCCTGGGCACCTACAGGCTCTCTAAGAGCAGGGAGCCTCCAGTTCTCAGGGGCAAGGACCTTGGAGCAGTGTTTTTGCTGCCTTCTGCAGCGTGGGAGGCAGGTCACTTGCCAGGTTTATCTGGGTGCATCTCACCCCGGGCACCGGGGGAACCTGAGTCCCTGTTCTCTGCCTGTGGCACACAGTTGTTCAGTCTCTGAGGGCTGTAACGTTCCGCTCTACGGGTGGTGGTTTGGTGCTTGGTTGTGTTTTTAGTGGCCGATGATCCATGAGGCCAGCCTAGAGGATCTGGGGGTCCCTTCTGGCCTTAAATTCTATGGCCCTGGGTCTCTATATGACTCCTTCCTTGGAAGAAAGGCATAAAAATGGGAGTTGCTTTTACAAGCCTGTGGGAAGTGCCTGTACCCTGCTTGGCTGTTTGCAGGTGGCTCTGGCTGACCTGGGCCCGCTCTCCACCCGCTTTGTGCGCGACAATGGCACTCACTCAGGAAACCCCTGAGGGGTGTGGGGTTTAGTCCTCCAATAGGTGCCAGTGTGGGTCTCCATATAGCCCTATGCTCGGCAAGTCTCTGTGCACAGAGGGGGGCTCTCCGTAAGCAGCTCTGGGATGACAGGAGGATGCTTGTTGCTGGGAGCCAAGGGAGGTCGGGGTTCCCAAGTTCTCCTGGCAAGGTGGCTGGGATGAGTATAGTCTGGCAGCAGACAGGGACGGTCATAGCATGAAACCTCAGAGTCTGTCTGGTAAATTGCAGCTGCATGTTTGGTCCTTAGGTCCCCCTGGTGTCTAAGGCAATGCGCTCTCCATTGAATGACTCCCACCATCTCTGTTTTGCCTCTTCCTCGTTCCTTGCATGCATGCACGGGTACCGCGTGATGCTGTGAGTGTCATAATTACCTGGTCCTTCCTCCCAAAAGACGCAGATCGCATTTGAGTTATCCTGGTTGGGGGGCGGGGGGAGAAAACATGAGGCACATGGTGAGGTGTCTGTGCTCCCTTAGTTCCAAGCAATGTACGTAACCTGCGCTCGTTAGGGAAAAGTCTTGTGACTGGTCCCTCCTGCCTATGCAGTGTTGTTCCCTACAGCATATTTCCCAGCACTTTTTCCTGCCCACTATTAACATGAAGCCCCATCACAGGAATCCACTGCATCACTTGGGAGACTATTCCGCAGTGTAGTGAGGAAATATTTGATAGTTAATCAGTTTTATCCCGTTACTCTGAGTTAGTAATAATACCCCCTTGGAGTAATAATACCCCTTTGGAGTACCCTACACTCTTTTCTTTCTTTCCCGCTGCTTACACCTAGATTTTCAGCAGGAAAATTTACACCAGGTGAGGATCTGGCCCTACATACTTCTCAAGCAGTTGACTTAGAGCTCCTTCGTCATTTGGCCATTCTGCTTCGCAATCTTTTCCTCTAAATCCCCGTAATCAGTTCATTGCTGCTCTCTGACGTGCCTCCAATATACCCGAGAGCACAAAGGGCCAATGGCTTCCTCCTACGTCTGCACAGTTGGGTTACATTGCGTGGTGCCCACTTGGCGGGCACGTCTCTCCCCCCTAAAGATTCCCACCTGCTCCCCAGTCCGGACAAAGACAACTTGCAGGCGGGCTGACCCTCAGAGTCTCCGCAATACTTCACAGAGAAGAGTTGACAGGAGTCAGTGGGGCTGCACTGGCTTTGTGGTTAAAAACCAACCAACCACCACACGCCTTATTGGTTGCAATGAGCCAGGACCTCCCCCCACTCTCCCGTAGCTCCAGGGAAGGTCAGAGGAGAAGAGAAGCATTTTAAAAGCCCCACTCCATCCCTGCAGCAGCTACTCTGTTTTCTGCTACAGCTTCTGCCTCAGCTAGAACTCCTCCCAGGGAGCACACATGCGCATGCCCGCTGCATGCCCTTCGAGGAAGTGGCATACTCCTCCTCCGTGCCAGGCCAGTTCTACTGGGTGGTACAGAGCAGGGGAGATCTTGCTCTTAGCCTGCCATTCCCTGTCAGGCCCCTAGCACCTGAGCACACTGCTAGCAGGGAGCAGGAATTACATTCCCCTTTGGGATACCGGGCAGTCAATGGTGCCAGGGCTCAGGGAGGGGGAGCTCCTTATGCGCTCGCTCCCACCTCTTTGCACACCGAGTCAGAGAGATACTGGCCCAAATCCACCCTTCAAGCAGCAGGTTGAATTCCCATTGGGTTTCAAGAGCCCTGGCTGTTCCTGAGACTTCAGCTACACTGACCTCCCCGCTCCGGTGTCCTGAAGAGCTATTTGCCTTCCCTTGCCCAGAGTGATAGCTGCTGTTAAAGCCTTTGTGGGCCACGATCACCAGCTCACCAGCTTTTGGTTATGCCAGAACCGGATCTCCACAGGCTCAGTGAGGTTGGTGACGCTGTAGTTTTCAAGGGTGGCCCCTAAGATGTCATTGTTCAGTAGGGAGCTATTCTTCCAGTCCTGCAAAGCCAGAGCAGAAGAAACAATGCGCAGACCCATAAAGACTATTACCAGGAGTGGGCAGGTCACTGGTATCGGGAGCCTTTCATCTGCAGATGACCAACGCTGCTTCTATCCATGGGCAATCTGATGGCCTATGTGCAATGAGTTTGTTGGTCTCAATCCAGTTCCTTGCAGGCAGGTGCTCACATTGCAAACCTCCCACACCATGATGCTTAACCACTTCATCGGGGAGGCCATGAACGGAATGGTCAGAGAGGCCAAACTACCCTTCCACTCTAAGAGGTGTCCCTTTATGATGCATCTTACTGAGGTTGCACAGAGAAGTTTGCATTGCTGCTTCCCATGTTATACGTAAGAGTCCTCTACGCTGCATGTGTGGGTGTTGTGGGCACCTGCATGTAATATGTTGTTAATGAAAGGATCCAGCTAGATAGACGGATGGCCTAGAGACACCGTCCTGCTCATCTCATTGAAACACCGGTGGAAGCTATTTTCTTAGCATTGGTCATAGGGGGCTGCAGCAGCCAATTGGTGAGCAAGGCCAGACAAATCTTGATGTTGCTTGACCATGGGCTGACCACATCTTTACAGCTTCCCGGGGCTTTAATTACCAGAAGAGAGGTGTTCCCCTGGGGTTCCCCTGGGACAATTCCAATATACCTGGGGCCCTTGCCCTCTCTAAATTCCCCTGCACTTCCAATTGGATACGGCATAAATGAGCAGGGGTGCCGCGTGCTGTTAAGCAGCTACCCTGCTTCATCTGCATCTCGGTGTTGGGGAAGGGCCCCATGCGTATGGTCTGATGCATTAGTCTAGACAGCTCTTCAAAAGAAAGGGCTGCGTACATGCAAACTAATGTCTTTTCTCTGCTTCCCCAACCCACCCGCGCTGGTAAAACTTCAGAGTGTCTAACCTGGAACAGGCAAGGGGTGTTGAGATAAATGCAGACGAGTTTCATTTCTGCTGGTGTACTCCGCCGTTTCGGCACCAGTGCAGCTGGGAAATGCATGGAGTGTTGGGTTGGTTTATTCCTTTTGGGCTGTGAGGTTGAAACAGAAACATTCCCTGGCACAAACTGACAAATGTCAGGTTATGATTTAAAGAGAAGAAGCAAGTGCTGAAAGAGCGATCGCAGGGGGCTGCAATGCAACTCAATAATAATTGTAGCATCTTTCAAACACCCTGCATGCCAGCATGCTGGAAAGAGCGAAGCACAGTGTCAGCGTGAGATAAAGGATAGGGAGGGAAGGAGAAGTGAAATGAGGCAAGGATGAAAAGAGCAGTGCTTGGGTCAGATGTGCTTGTAGCTGGAGGGAGAAAGATTTATTCATGTACCTGAACCCATCTGGGCCAACAGTGTGGTTTGAACCCAGGACTTTCTGCACTAAAAGCATGAATTGCCACCCCTTGAGGTAAAGAACTAAGTGAAGCCCTGTAGCTGATTCCTAAACCTTTTTTATGGACCAGCTACTAGAAGGGCGACAGACATCCCTATTCTCCACGATGTCTCCTCATCTATGTCTGTACGCTGCCCAGCACAATGGGGGCCTGATCCTAACTGGTGCTTTTGGATGCTACGGTAAGAGAGATGATTGACAATCACAGCAGGAGGTGCGGAGGAGAAGGTGGTGAGGTTGCATGGAGGTATAGCGAGGAGACCAGTATCAGATGAGCAGAAGAGTGGGAAATGAAGAGAGGTGAGGTCTGTGAGGCAGGGCTCCGGCAAGACAGATATGAGGATACCATGGTGACAGGTGTGGTATAAATGACTAGTAGAAGCTTTTTCTCAGAGCTTTTGGTGAAATAGTGTCTGGGAATCTCTGTCTTGCCACCTGGGTCAAACAGAGGAAAGGTTGAGAAGCTGGAGCAAGAGGATTTGGAAGCCCTGGATGTCCTATTGCTCCATAATAAGTTTAGGACTTTGTATGGTGGCAACAAATATTGTGACTGGGATTGTGAGTGAGGCTCACCACTTTCTAGGTCGCTTTCTGGCAGAAGTGACAGGGCAGACGGAAGCCACAGGCTCCCTCATTCAGACCTTCATTTACAGAAACATTTGAATGGTTCTCTTGGGTCCGTGACTTACCATTTGCTGTAGAGGTCAGGCCCAGTTTGCAAAGTGTGGAGCCACGCCTTGCAGGGGTGCTGTTGGATCAAAGGGTTTGGTTCAGGCCAGTTCCTAAATTAGGCTGTACCAAGGTCTTTAAAAGTGACTAGTGATTCTGAATGCGTCAGTCTTTAGGGGCCCAGCTGGAGACCTTAAAGGGACCTGGATTTCAGAACTTTTGGAGCTCCTCCCTCTGGAAATCAAACCCTTCTAAGGTGTCTCAAGCTGTGGCCCTGCCATTGAAGTGCCCCAAATCACCCTTTATTAATAGTAGAACGGTGGTAAAATTGATTCCTTTTGCACCTTTGCATGATGCTTTCCTGATGCTGGATTTTGATCTCTGTGGGATGCACACTCCTACCCCTAAACGCCCTGAGGTATTACCTCACCCACCCTTGTCTGTAACCCGATAGTCAGATCCAGCATTTCAAAGCCACGCTCACATGCACTTTTAAATCTCTGAGAACACTCCCTGGGTGCAGAGTTCAGCAGCCAGTTTGCTCCCAAAAACCGCTGCAGCAGAGATACATATCGCTTTGAGCTCTCTCCTATCACTTATACGGCCTCCATTCCTTTGGCATCTGAGCATCGCACACAACGCCTGGGTGGTAGGGAAGTGCTCTTATCCCCAGTTCACAGATGGGGAGCTGAGGTACCGACAGACTGTGACTTGCCCAAGGTGGCACAGTGAGTCTTGAACCCAGGAAGCCTAACCATTGGAGCATCCTTCTCTAAAATCTTGGGCCCAGCTCCACAAAGGTATTTAGGCTTCTAACGTGCATGGATTTCAATAGGCGCTGTAGCGGGGTGGACACCCGCTCCTGCCCTGAAGGGCTTGAAACCAGCCCTGAAAGAGGGCTGCAGGGGTTAAAAGCAGCCCTACAGAGGGCGGCAGCTCTAAAAGCTGGGCTGATTGGGGAAGCGGCTGCAGCTGGGCCACGCCCCAATCAGGCCCCCGCTGGCCTGTATAAAAAGGCTGTGAGCCAGAGGCCCAGGGCAGTCTTCCTCTAGAGAGAGAAGAGTCTGGCTGCAGGAAGCTAGAGACAGGGTACTTGAGTGGAGCAGGGCTGGGGAAAGGCAGAGGAGCCGGGGAGCTCCAGCCTGGAAAGCCCCAGGCTGCGGCCTAGCAGAAGGCCAAGGGGTACTGGGGGGTTGCAGAGGGCAGCCCGGGGTAGGCGAAGGCAGCAGGTCCAAACCCAACCTTGCCAGTGGTGAGTAGGCTGATACTGCAGTCTGTCCCAGGGCGTGGGGCTAGATGATGACTGGCAGTAGCCTTATACTGAGGAGAGGTGAGACTAGTGGGTGGGGGTTCCCTGAGGAGGGGAGACCCTAAGACTGAGGGGTTACTGCCAGGGGGCAGCACCCCAGGTAAAAGGGCACGGGGGTCCTGGGAGGGATCGGGGCCAGAGGACAGGCGGATCACCAGCCTGCAGGGGGCGCTCCAGATGCTGGAAGAGCTAATTCCTGGAAGTAACCAGCAGGAGGCGCCGCAGGGGTGAGTCCGCTCCTCTACAGGCGCACACATACCTTGATGAAGCTGGGCCATGGAGACGTTGGTCTTGTTTTCCCTTAGTTAACGTGAGACAAATCATTTTAGACTGAAAATCCATGTTTTGCTTTGTGTAGTGAATGGCACATTTGCATGTGGGCTTTGAACATGCAATCTACGTGCGGACACAGTGGGTTCTAGGGGCAGTCAGGATTGCAGATTGGCGGAGGTGTGGCCATGTGTGTTTGTGAAAACTCTGGAATTGTGAGTGTTTGTTCCCACTCCGGGTGCAATCCGCAATGACTCTGAGTCTGTTACAGCCCCCTTGGGAGTGCGGCTCATGCTTTTAGCTCTGGAGGTCCCCAGTTCAATCCCCTTTCTCGTGATGATAATGTAAGCACTCACTTTCACTGCAGAAAGGTTACTTTAAAAAGAGAAGGAAATTCAACCCAAAATATTATTAGAGCAGAGATGCAGGAAACCTGCGGTCTGATCTGTTCCGGGACTAACACTGAGGAAGTCCCCCAGATGCTTTAGAGGCCATGTGGATGATTTTCCGTTCCTGCTGCTGCACTATTGCGTGGCTTTCAGTCAAAGAAGATAAAGCTGACATCTCTCCCTTGTCCCCGCTGCCCTCTGGCAAAAGTTCTTCCCTGGATGGAAGCGTCAGCACGTCGCATTCCCGGCGTACGTAGCAAGGCACAAAGCACTCTGGGTGGATGTGGAGACTGAGACCCCGGCTGGCCACCGGAGACCGTTCTAATGACCCGCCAGAGCGGACTGGGCTGGGAAGGCAGGCGCCTGGAGCTTTGGGTTGTGGGAAGGGAGAGTGCACGGCTCTCATCTCCAACTGGCTCTGCTGGCTGGCTGGGGGAGACACCTCCAGGCTGCCTGAGGAAAAAGCCCAGGGCCAAGGGCTGACATGTACAGGGCGAAAACACGGGCAAGAGGGGCAATTGTTCCCCCAACATTGATCCCCCCCCTCCAACTTTTCATAGGTTTCTGTGCTCTGCTTCTGCCCACCTGCAGACATTGAAGGAGATAATATGACCACAAAGACCAGTCTATATGACCAGTCTATATACTGACACAGCTTTGTCCTCCCCACCAGAATTTTTCTGAAATGATGCCCCTGACCAGAGTGTGCTGAGAGGCCCAGAGTTTTTCACAAGTGGCTTGTGATTCTTGAGATGTGTCCAAGCAGCCTGGTTTCCAGAGGGGAGGGGCTCAGCACCTTCTGAAATTCGGGACTCTTCAAGGAGACTTAGGTTGGGCTCCCCAAATGTAAATGCTCAGTCTTGGCCAGGGTCCCAACTCTGCCCCTGATTACCATAGTCTTGCCTGTGGGAGGGGCTTAACATAGAAAAGAAAACCCATCCAAGCCAACACTGCTGCATGTGGTTGGACACAGCTGGGAATGGATGGTTTAGAAAAGGAGGGTCTGATAAGGTTTAAGGACCCTTCTGAGCCATCCCCTGTGGGGCAGGGCAGATTTCAGCACCCCACCTCACCTTGTCTGTCCATCCAGCCTGCCCATGTTATATTTATATCTGCTGGGTCAGACGTACTGGAGTCAGACTTCAGCTGTCAATGAAGCCCCATTTGGTCCTTGGGCCTGGCGTTTGGGCACACCTCACGTGTTCACACTACTTCAGCCAGGATGCAAATGGGGTTTCTTGTGGGCAGCAGCTCTGCCAGCTGAGCAAGGAGGGAACTAAGCCGGAAGGAACCAAACTAATCTGGTCTCTTCCGGAAATTACTCCTTTGTAGATCTTACTTTAGGCACTCGGCCAAAAAAGAGGAAGAGGCAGGTGTGATGGAGCGGGGGAGACAGAGAAATGGGGGAATGGAAATCGAGATCAGACTCCTATGGAAACGAAAGCTCGTGCTATCGCTCTGTGCGCCAGAACGCTGTCAGTATGCGAGGCCCTACGCTGGGAAGAGTGATTAGAAAGCAAAGCCCGCCGTTAGAGCAAGGTGGATACTGACCGGCATTGACTCGCTGCTGAGCTTCAGCCCTGGGAACCGTGGCTTAATCTTGATAACTAAAGTCTGAATGTTGGGGCATAGGACAGTGAAGTTGTCCTCTTGGAAACGGACTCCCAACAGCTTCTGTTCTAACTGTTTTAACCTAGAATGGAGAAACAAGAATCAGCGCTCAGAGGGGCGGAGAAGGCCAGAGAGGCTGGGGCTGGGGCAAACAATACGAGGAGGAAGGAAAGAACAAGGGAGTGAATGAAGATAAGAAAGAGGCAGAGACACTGAAGATGTGTATTTGAGATCATCTCCAGAAGGTATCGTCACGCGTTAGAGGTTGCCTCAGACAAGGGGCACTAAAATTGGAGACAAACTCAAACATCAGACCCTGTCACCGTCAGCTTTAAACGTTCCTCACACAAATTACGGAATGGGT